CCCTTAAGATAACATGTAGAAAGAAAAAAACATATCTTAAGCGTGCAGAATAACATAAGTGGACTGTGAACGATTAATTGCTGCTTTGAACGATTACGTAATTGTGGCATCCATAATTGTAATTGCGATTAGAAATTTGATTAATTGTGCAGCCCTACTTCCACAGAATATATAAATACAGATAAATACATTTAGACCACTTAACTTAATGATTGCTATCGGGATGTGAAGAGACTTTCAACCAGCATAACAAAAAATGTTTCTGAAGACAATCACCTAATGCACCTTTAATATTGACTTTACACAGACTTTAAGGGATGACACTATATATATATAAGTTTAAGCTCGCAGCTATGATTGAGACTTGTTATCATTAACTAGAATTAAAACTATTAAAAATAATTTTCGGAAGCTGAAAAATAAAATAAAATATACATTTTAGATTAAAAAATATAAATTTAAAAAACTTGAGAAAATTAGAAGTGATAAAATGTGTGCAAGCTGAATTACTAAAATATCAAAACTAATACAAATGACAATAGCACATAATATAACAAAAGCACAAAAAAATGTACAAAAACAAAGCAAAATTTAAAATATAAAGTTAATTTAACATACAAGAATACTGTATAAATAATATTAACACTGGTTTGAGACAACATATTGGTTCAATGTGTTACTTTACAATTTTTACAGAATTAAAATTTTATGCATTATGCCTGAAACCCGATCAAGATCCTATATAGTCTTAAAAGTTTCTCTAGTATATCAGTGAGCTGAAACGTGAGTGAAAGATCAATGTTCACTACTATTGAATATTGACCCCAGCCTTATGTCACTCTGCTGTTGGAAGTGAAATCTGTCTGTCATAATAGGATGTATCCAGATCACTACACACAGGGATTAATGCAGCTCATGGCTCATTTGTGTTTTGGTTGTAGAATGTGCCAGACATATTGCTCATAATCCCAGTTAACCGTCACTGTGGCAGGAACACATAAAGCCATTGAGCAGCCTTAATCTGTCCAAAGTCGGGCTTACATATGTTGAGAACTGTACAATGCAGTGTAATCTGATTTCCAAAACAGATTAGAGTCACATCAAAGAATTTACTCACACACATCAACTATGAAAGGTTCGTAATGACGCACGCAATACAATTTCAAAGGTTTAATGTAAAAAAAAGTACTGCACACTGTGTTTCCATGCATGATGACAGACTGTTGCATCTGTCTGTGCCTGGCAAAATCCTGCCATATATGGAAGACTTGGACTAGATGAAACTTTTGACTCTAGTAATTATTTATCAAGGTAGGTTTATTTTTGAAATTTAATTTCTGTGTAAACATACCTTAAAGTCTTGCCTACAAAAAAAAAAAGCTATTGATTATTTCCACCATCCTCAGGGAAAAAAATACAGTTCACTGAACATGCTGTCACATTATATGGGGTAAGTTGTCACAACGAAAACTGCCACTAAACACCCTTATTAGCCTAAAAGTCATGAAACAGAATGGTCATGGTCAACAAATATTGTGATTAGTAAAATGTTTAAAAATTTCATTTTTTACAAATGAATAAACCTTATGACAACCTGCCTAATTTGACAACACAAAAAGATGACAAAAAATTATATTGGGATTTTGAAAAAGGTGTTTGAAATACACATACAAAATCACTGCTAAAAAAAAAAACTATTGGACTTTTGAATCAAAATCTTACAGCTAGCTACCCATCAAACAAAACATTTTGCTAATGTTCCCTATAAGTTATGAAAACGTTATTTCTGAATGTTCTCTGAATATTCAAAATGTCCAGTTTTAAATGTTTAAAAAAAAAAATAATAATTTCTCTCTTGGTTACGCAAACGTTAAGGGAACGTTTCATTTTATAATTTAGCAAACTTTATGGGTACATTACCTTATAGGTAACATTTAAAAAAAAAAAAAACGTTAGATGAACATCCAACTAAAATGTTTCAGAAAAAAAAAAACGTTCTACGAACAACTTATAAATAAAATTTTTGCGCTAACGTTTTGAGAACATTATTAAAGACCAGATAACTCTGAATTAACATTAATTAATGGCGTTACTGGAAGAACGTTACAGCCAAAGTTCTGCCACTGTGACAACTTGCCCCGGTCTCTCCCATATGACACTGAGTCGAGCATCGTCCTCTGTAGCGTGCATTGTAAGACAAAAAACACGCCTGACATGTTGTTTGTTTGCTTGTTTTATGTTTTCAATATCTTGTCTTTATTTACAAGCACGCAATAAACATTATTCCGCCATTTCTATTAAACAAACCGCTTGTATATTAAGTTCTAACCATCAGCAAGGACTAGACAGACCATCAGAGGGCATAATAATGAACTGCAGCACGTTAAAAATGCATATTTTATTTCTTTATTTGCGTAAGGCCCAAGGCTGATTCATCCTCAAAGGGCAGCACTGGCTAAACAAGGCATGACAAAGCCATTCGTGCGCACGTGAGTGATGTGATGCTGCAAGAAAACAAAGATGCCCAGCTCGAAGAGACAGATCTAAGATCTCCTCCACTCACCTCCTCGGTGTGTTTCCTCAGCGCTTTCTCGCGCTCGTACTGTGTGATCAGCTGCTCGTTGTCCTCCTTCAGGAGCTCCAGCTCCACTTCGTGCTCCTGGTTCTCGGCGAACACGGTGTCGAGGTTCTCCAGCACCGCCACGACCAGCGGCATCAGCTCCTTCACCACGTCCTCGTCGTACTTGCGGATGAGTCTCTCGAACTCGCGGTAGATGGAGTTGGCCAGGCCCGAGACCCTCTCCGACATGATCGCCGATGTCCCCGGGTCGTCCTGGTACACAACTCCGTCATCCAGCTCCATTTTCCTTCCTCTCGAGAGAGACTGTCCTAGATTTAAACCTCCGCTATGCCAACCCAACGTGTCTCGGCTTATATTTGAAGAACGAATGCTGATGTGTTCCCGTTATATTCTCCGAAACACAGATCCCGCGGAAGTCCAGAGTCCCTCCCTGGAACCGGCCGATGGAATATATCTTTTTTTTTTTCCCGCGGTCGCCCCACAACAGCTGAGCCTCTGTTGACTAGACAATCGCGCGGTGACGTCACGCGGCGTAACGTAACGTAACGATTGATCTTGAGACATGATGGGACAAAACATGTCCTGCAACTTTCCCTGCCATTATTGTATTTATTTATTTATTTTTTTTATTCGTGTTTTTATATTCCCACTCTGGAATGAATCAGTGCGAATTATAGGGTTAATATTCTATCCACATAGGGAAAAAATAATAATAATTTTAAATCGCGATCAAAAATAGGTATACTAGAAACTTCCAGGCAGGTGTGTTGAGGCAAGTTGGAGCTAAACTCTGCAGGACACGGGCCCTCCAGGACCGAGTTTGGAGACCCCCTGCCATAGCTCAAAATAGAATCATAATAAATAATAAAGGAAAAAGAAAGAAGAGGGCATTATACACTACAGAATAATAAAAATTAAACATTAAATATGGTAGAAAATGTGTAGGCCATGCAAATTGTACATGTTCTGAGTGCTTTCTTGTTAAGTGAGACTTGTACAGTGAAATTGTAAGCAAATAATTTTTTATCTCTTGTGAAAATACTACAAAAACAGGTTTACAATTTGAAAATTTACACTTGTGAATATAGAATCTACATAAGAAGAGAATTATTACAAAACAGGCATTGGGATCCGCTTCAAAAAATACAAAAATAGTAAATTTGGGATTCATTGAAAAATCTTGTAAGATAGTATTCTATAGATAAACTAACATCTTTATCTAACATAACATCTAACATCTTTTCAGAGCTGAGAAGTATAACTGCATGACCAAAACTAATGAAGAAGAGTTTCAGTGTCATTCTAACAAAAGGGAAGAAAAAAATTCTCAAAATCAGATCCAAATTTTTTCTTCAGGAAATTTTTGACAGGGTAAATGTTATGGAGTAAGCCTAGGATCATCAGATAACTGACAACTGATGTAATATATTATATTATAAATTTCAATTATATTTTATATATTTTGCACACTGCTCACGTGTATTATTCATTCAATTTTCTCTTTATTATATACAAATTATGACTTTATATTATCAATCTTACCTAAACCGCATGCGTAAAATAGGGGTTGAATGTCTTGTGGAGCGCTTTCAGAGTATGCATTTATTTGTCATTTGAACTGTTTGGAAACGGAGCGTAAATGTGGAAATCCTTCAAAGATTTCTCATCCTGTTGCGCCCTCTATTGGACCAGCGACTAGTCGACGTCAAGCTTAAAGCGTCATGGCAGAGCATTGAAGTCGACTAGTGGTGCAACCCCTAGTGTAAAATATTGCAAACCATTTTTGTTTACTTTTCCCCCTCAATTTGTGTGATATGCAAAATCTGGTTATTTAAACACTCTAAAATAGTCTATCAGTTGTGAAGTGAATCCTAGATTTGTAAATACTTATAACAAATATTTTGCACATTATTTTTGCATCTGACAGTGTTGCTTCATATTGAATGAAGGCAAGGCAAAACATATTTTGTGAGAAAGAAGCAGATGATGTACCGAAACATAGGCAAATACCTCTAAACACACTGAATAGATTGTTGATCCAAAATAATTCCTTGATATATATTTTTCCCAGTACTCAAGAATCAGTGGTAAATGCTTGAATGCTTGGTCACTACAAAGGAGATGTGTTCATTGTACATGGTCACGCGATCATATGGCCTGTCTGTGTTTTGTAGTTGGAGCTGAATTAATTATTCATTGATGTATTTTCTCTGGCTGTACAGTCACAGATCTGAAGTGTTCAGGTTTATACTGTAAAAAATAAATGTATATATAAAAAGGGAAAAATTTGTATTTTATTGTGTCATTCATTTAACTTGAACAGGTGGTCATTTATTTTCTTTCTTTTTTTTTGAAAAAATTCTGTAATGTGATTTACTGCTCCATCTAAACAGCATTTTGCACCCTTTCATAATTATGCATGCAGTTTTTATAACCATAATTATTGAGATTGCATGGAACAAGTGCAATAAATTAAGTAACATTGTCAATGGAAATTAGACAAACGATTTAAAAAAAACACAAAGGAATAACACAAAATCATGTCCCTTAAAATATTTATTGGGAGACATGTAAAAACTAAAAAAATAACTGTAAACCCTACAAGAGTGACTCGAGAGAGGGAAACATTGGGGATGTTGAACTTAAAGAAAACAAGCTGCAGTCCATTAAAAAAAAAAAAAAACTATGCTACAAAACTCACTCCAAAATGTGCTTTGACAGTATCCACACCACTAGATTTAATGGTCTTACCATAAATTACTGCATTTCAACAAGCTGATGTTTGCAGGTAATAACTGAATATTTAAACAACCTTGCTGTAATATCGCATATCATTGATAAATGTTGACATCCTAAAAAAATTATACGAGTCACACAAAGAGAATTGTGCTGAATGAAATATGAAATGCTCTTATTTACAGTTGACTCGTTGCTATGGGGGCATCAACAAAAATGGTTATGTACATAAACTGAAATACAAATAAGGCATTAATGTGGGAAAAAAAATGAAAAGGACTTTCTTTTTGAACATTTTCAGTGGTGGCAAAATCGTTCATTGAAGCAAAGGACGATTTTAACCACGTGGGGGAAAAAGGAATAGGGATATAATAATTTGAATTCTTGAATATACACATTTCATTTCTTACCCCTCTTAAATCAGGAAAGAACCACAAACTTATTCGACACTGGGAGTCATTTCCAATCATGGACAAATTTACAATGATGCATTTAACTGTTAATGTGTACAATGCACTGTTCGATATTTCAATACACCTTGTATATAGAAACGTTTTTTCTTCGTTTTCTTTTCGATAGCAATAAAAAAAGCATTGCAAGATGCTAAAGACAGAAGAAAAGTTTGCAAAAACGTCCTCATTTCTGTAAGGGGATGGTTGTGGTGTCCAGGCGGAGAGAAATAAATCAGTGATTGAACTGGCGTTATGCGTTCTTTGTCTTGGGCATCTTGCAGTGGCATCATTGGCTTGTGCCCCTCTATAAGTCTGATGGAGAGACAGCTCTCTGTTCTTTGGCACTTAGGCTGGTAGACTCAGCTTCTTTCCTTTCAGCACTGTGGATCAGACAAAAGACATCAGAAATTGAAGCAGGAAGAGGATTTTTTTTTTTTTTATCCTAAAACATGCCTAATTCTAAAAATGGAAGACAAACCACAAAACATGCCTAATTCTAAAAATGGAAGACAAACCAGTGCTTAAACTGCAATGAATGCATGCATTAATGTTAAAGGATTACTTAAAAATAAAGTTTATTTATTAATAAAAAGTTTATTCACACAGGTACCTTTCCTAAAGTAACAGTTCAACCAAAAATGAAAAAATTCACTCCCCTTTAGGGTATCAAAGATTTTTGTTACAGATTTGGAGAAATGTAGCATTACATCACTTGCTCACCAATGGATGCTCTGCAGTGAATGGGTGCCGTCAGAATGAGAGTCCAAACAACTGATAAAAACATCACAATAATCCACACCACTCCAGTCCATCAATAAATGTCTTATGAAGTGAAGAGCTGCATGTTTGTAAGAAACAAATCCATTATTAATCTGTTTTAACTTTAAACTACCGAGTCTGGTCAAAATATGGAGATTGTAATCTGTAATGATGCTTCCTCCAGTGTAAATGTCCAACCTCATTGTCCTCTCAAAATCTATGAACATATTTGTTTAGAACTGTTTTGGACAATTTTTGCATGAAAATGCTTAATCTGTGCATATTTCTCTCCTGATTCAGACGAGACAACTTTTTTTACTGGAGAAAGCAATATTACGGATAGAGGATTTGTATTTTAGCCCAAAGCTAAATGTTTCTCTTACAAACATACAGCTTTTCACTTCACAAGATGTTAATTGATGGACTGGAGTCGTGCAACTTTTTTTACTGGAGAAAGCAATATTACGGATAGAGGATTTGTATTTTAGCCCAAAGCAACGTTTTGCAGTTAAAAACGTCTTGATGGATTTCTCTTACAAACATACAGCTTTTCACTTCACAAGATGTTAATTGATGGACTGGAGTCGTGTGGATTACATGTAGAGATCGACCGATATATCGGTTTACCGATATTTAAGCATTTGACCATAATCGGATATCGGTTTTGTAATATCGGATTCACCGATAAACGCCGCCATCTTGTGGGCGTTTTGAGAATTGCGCGCAGAATCGCCATTGCAGCGCGTGCGTCTGAGGGGAGACGAGAGGACAACAACGGCGTGCAGGTACTTGATATAGTTGCTATAGTTAGTAAACTTTATTTAACATAACAGCCATTTATGCAAAGAGGAAAAACCAAAGTGAAGTATGTTCTTACTTCACTCAGTCATTTATTTACTTTATAACAGTAAATAAATATCGGTTCTGCATATCGGTTATCAGGCACATAAACATGCAAATAATTGGTATCGGTTATAAAATATCAATATCGGTCGATCACGGATTATTGTGATGTTTTTATCAGCTGTTTGGATTCTGACGGCACCCATTCACTGCAGAGGATCCATTGGTGAGCAAGTGATGTAAAGCTACATTTCTCCAAATCTGTTCTGATGAAGAAACATTAATCTCACAACAAGGTTAACTGTATCTTAGTTGTTTTAAATTCTGAATTAAAAGACAAGTCATCAAATTCAATGTTCAATTCAACCAGCATTGTGTTTTAAGAAAGTAAATGTCAATTTTAATCTCATGCTGACTTTAAGTTCATGACCACCCAAACTAAATGTCATTTCACACCCACTGTCCTTAAAAAGGTTTAAACTCACCTTTTGTGATGTAAAGGTAGAAGAAGTCACAATAGAGAATAGTCTGGACAACCCCAGCCACGATGGCAATCATGTCAAAGAAGCCCTCAAAGTAGAACCTCCAGATCCAGTTGAAGAGGTACAGGGCGCGATAGACCCCCAGGCAGAACAGATAGTGGGTAGTGATGGTTTCGGCCTCGCCGGTCTTGCTAATCATAAAGAGCTGAGGCAGGATGGCCACAGACTCAAGGTAGATGGAAAAGGTCCACAGAATCTGTCAAAAAAATAAAAATTCATTCAGGTTTGGAACAACTTGAGGGTAAGTAAATGATGATAGAATTTTCATTTTTAAATGAACTATGTTGTAACTGTTGTAATTTGCTTTTACTTATTTTAGTATTTATTTTAGTATTAGCACGTTTTTATTTGAGTGTGTGTGTATATTTCTTTTTCAGTGCTTGGAATTATTATGATTGTGTTTAGCAACGATAATGCCTGTTGTTATTTGCAGAGGTTTAATAAAGGTTAAAAACAAAACTGGCACGAATAACACATTTATGATGGTCAAATTCCCAAATGTGCAGTAATACTCACCTCCAACGGAGAGAAGTCATGGTTGACCAGAAAGGCGAGACCTCCCACAGGAACCACAAGAAACTCAACTCTGAAAGTGTCGTGGTTTCCATCATAAGTTGCCCTGAACTTTGCGTAGATCAGGTAGACTGTGGCATAGGCACATCCGACGTAGATAACCTGTTTTCACAGCACAGAAACAAAGAAATTGATTAACTGCAAAAGGTCAGTGCACTTATAAACCTGTTTACGCTGATGTGGCAAAACATTGTCTTTTTGCAACCACTGATATTTAAGATCGATGTGTGCATGTACAAGTTTGTTCTATGCCTTTACCTTCATGCAAGTGTTGTAAAGAGAAATGAAGGATGTCAGGAGATCCAGGTAACGTGTGGTGAACACAAAGGCAAAGAGCATCTGGCTCTTCCCAGAGATACCTGGGGGCAAAAATATTTACACTCAGACAATTGCAACATAGAAATAAATAAGAGAACACAGCACCAGTCTTTACTGAATACGGAGTTCATAAAAGGTTTAAGAGATGCATCTATGTTCTCTATATCTCTGTAAATCAAAAGTCAGATGTCAATGCATCTAGACAACCCAGATGACCCATCCTTGCAAAGCCCACACAAAACTACATGCACTGCAACTTCAAAGCAAGGAATACAATGCACTTTAGGAATGTATGGCAAATAAAAGGAGGGAGAAATTCAAATTTATGACAACAAGCATATGAAAAAACTCCCTTTTGATTCTCACAAAGCAACATATGAAGGTGCGAATTTGTCCTCTAAACAGTCAAATTAATTGCATAGGCATAGTATATATATATATATAAACCACTATTAAACTGCAGTTAGTAAGTAGGCCTGAAGTTTTCAGTTATTTCAGTCACTTAGAACAAGTCTGTGATGTTTGATAGCCTTAAAATCAATATGCAAAACATTAACGGTCACAGCATGTTAAATACATACAGATCCGTCCATTTAAACAATTTTTATTGTCAAATTTAACCCAAATCTACCCTTCAACAGCTTTCAAGTCAAGCTAAGCTACTAGCTTGAACGCTACACAAATTGCACTTCAATTCATGTTTCTTGCTTGAATATAAATTCACAAAGCTTTTCCGACAGCTCAACCCAGTCTAAAGTCTCCTCTATCTTTCGCAAACACACATATTAAGTATTAAATATACGAGAAAAGTATATTTTGTTGAGCTCACCTGCGCAGGACCTGCTCTTCCATATCTTGAGCAGCAGGATGATGATGGCAGCTAGATGAGACAGATCTCCAGTCAACCTAAAGATGTTCATGATGTCTTTCTCTCTCTGGCTGACTTTAGCGGTGTTAAAGAGAGCTCGGGGTGAGTGCGATAACTGTGAACCGGCTCAATGCCGCTCTCCTCCAGAGCATTCCTCCACCAAATATGGCGAAAGAGGGGCGACGTGGCCGGTGGACGTGACGTGGACAACAACGAAACCACAATGAATGCTGGGAAGTGTAGTCAGTGCGGCCGCGAGCTCCGCGAGCCGACTCTGACCACGCCCACTGAGGCTCCCTTACTAAAATTACTATGGTAAACATAGTTACTATTGATTTTTTTTTACTAATCAACATAACATTGTAAAGCGAAGAAAAAAATAAGTAATTTTAATTTCTATATGATTCTGTAGCCTACTGTGCTGTAGATAGATAGATGTATATGTATAATTATTCCACTTACTTTATCTTTTTCACAGGCATAAGCAGAAATATTTACCACATTACTCACGTGTCACTGAAAGCAGTAGATTCAGGGTGACAAACTGTGTCACAAAAGGAAGAAAGAACTGTGGGGACGGGTCTATGTCACTTCTCATTTTTCACATTTCTGGTTTTATTTCTCAGTTAGGCGTGAGACCTTTGTTCCGATGTCTATCTAGCAAACTGAAAAATCAATCACAGAGAGACATTAATGAAAGGAAAAGGAGCCACACAACAACCGTGACATCAACATGAACTTTGGTTTCTTCTTCACCATCGCATTTCTTATTTTTAGCACAGGTGAGCAGAAATTGAATTGTTCTAGACTAGAGGAAGAATTTTTAAAGCTATCATTCTACTACTTATTTAAACGTATTGTACATTGTAAACAAACATTTTTTTGTTGTAAGTTAAACAAAGATTGTTGGAATACGTTTTACAAGAAAATGCTCTTTATAGTCTTCAAAATTTCTAATTTAAATCAATGTGTTTTTGCCATTTCTTTGTAATTATTTGTGAAATTGACTAGCAATTTCTCAGTGAAAATTGCTTCAGAATAAATCCCAGGCTACACCTTTTTTTTCTGTGTATGTGACTTAATCAATGAAAATTAATTCATATTAGATAACTGTATATTATCTTGAACTGTTCATTTGTGAAATGAACATTACTTGGACAAAAGGAAGAAAGAACTGTGGGGACGGGTCTATGTCACTTCTCATTTTTCACATTTCTGGTTTTATTTCTCAGTTAGGCGTGAGACCTTTGTTCCGATGTCTATCTAGCAAACTGAAAAATCAATCACAGAGAGACATTAATGAAAGGAAAAGGAGCCACACAACAACCGTGACATCAACATGAACTTTGGTTTCTTCTTCACCATCGCATTTCTTATTTTTAGCACAGGTGAGCAGAAATTGAATTGTTCTAGACTAGAGGAAGAATTTTTAAAGCTATCATTCTACTACTTATTTAAACGTATTGTACATTGTAAACAAACATTTTTTTGTTGTAAGTTAAACAAAGATTGTTGGAATACGTTTTACAAGAAAATGCTCTTTATAGTCTTCAAAATTTCTAATTTAAATCAATGTGTTTTTGCCATTTCTTTGTAATTATTTGTGAAATTGACTAGCAATTTCTCAGTGAAAATTGCTTCAGAATAAATCCCAGGCTACACCTTTTTTTTCTGTGTATGTGACTTAATCAATGAAAATTAATTCATATTAGATAACTGTATATTATCTTGAACTGTTCATTTGTGAAATGAACATTACTTGGACACATTCACTTCTGATAAAAGATCACTCTAAATTGTAATGTAGACATGTGCATTTTCTGTAAAGCTGCTTTGAAGTGTGAAAAGCACTATACAAATAAATTTGAATTGAAGTCTTGAAATATTAATAATGTGAAATATCAGCAGTTTATTTTTTAAACAAAATATATTCTGAATTTCTACAGTCAGCGGATGTAAGGTAGACGTCCAACAGCCAACAAAGCTGATAAGAAAAAAAGAGCAACAGTCCGTCTCTATCCCATGCTCCGTCACCGTGTCCAGCTGTCCAAAGAGCCTACCTCAAATCTCTTGGTATGTGTTCCGGAAAAACTCTCACTACCAGCTTGATTTAAAAAGCCACTCATTGAGGTACACACTGGAGCACCAGGGCCTGAAAATCAGCTCTTTGTCAGAAGCAGACTCTGGGGTTTATTACTGTGCAGCGGCTCTGCTGGATGTGGCTCACAATGGGGCGCAGGCAATCGGACAGGGAACCACTTTGAAAGTCTCAGGTAAGAACTAGCAGAAGATTCAGCACAACCCCAGACCGTTCTGCTCATAATTGACACGTATCATGATGTGTTTGTATCTAGAGACGGGCTTAAATGTCTCTCAAGCACTGTTGTTGACATTGCTAGTCCTGCTGACTGTGTACAGCCTCCTTGTCCTGGTCATCATCATCTGCATAAAGGTACAATTACAGTACAGTACACACCTTTTCAAAGTAATGCCATGTTACACTTTCAGGAGAAAAGGTACAAAGCTGTCATTGGTGCAGTAGATACAAAAGCTAAGGTACTAATATGTACCTTTAAGGTACTAATATGCACCACTTAGAAGTAAATAAGGTACAAATATGACCTTTTAGCTTTTGTACCTTTGTACCTAATTCTATGTAACACAACTCCTTTTATTTCTTTACAAAATGTCACTACATCCTCAAAATACTTTTTAAAGAAAGTTTAATGGAGTTTAAGTAATTGATTTTTTTTTTCCAACAGACTGGACAATTCAAATCAGTCTTTAAAAGAAGATGGAGTAAAAGTGAGAACAAGGTATTGTTTGCCCTCTGTTGTCTGGTATGCTATGTTGCTGCATGAAATAGTAATATTGTGAAATATTATTACAATTTAAAATAAGTGTCTTCCATTTGAATACATTTTAAAATGTAATTTATTCCTGCGATGTCAAAGCTGAATTTTCAGCTGCCATTACTCCAGTCTTCATGATCCTTCAGAAAATATTTATATAGCATTTATCTGAGTTTAAGGTTTAAGGTTAAGGTTCTTTATTTGTCACATGTGATGCAATGTAGTGAAATGGAATAGACATCTTTTGTAACATTATAAATGCCTTCACTCTCACTTTTGATCAAATAAATGTATCCTTGCTGAATAAAAGTATTAATTTCTTCTCAGGAGGACTCAGCTAGGCAGCTAGGCTTCAGTGGAGTGGTGCAAGAACTGTCCAAGAGGAACTTAGTTGGTGGCAAAATTCAGGCGTACTACAAAGTTTCCCAAGACAAGGTTTTCAGACTATTCTTTTAAAACACACAAGCACGTTTTTAGCAAATGCACAATAATGTCTAAAAATGTCTATGTACCTGGCAGAGTTTTAAGTTAGAAATGTTCATGACATTTTACAATAAAAAAGTGCTTAACTTAGCCTAACTTTTATTTTCATTCTTCCCTATAGTCTACAGGTCTTCAGAATAGGTACCATAGTGAAGATGTTTACCAAAATCTTGATGAGTGAAAGAAAACGAATCCCCTGATCCACACTTGTCCCGCTGATCTGCAAAACCTGCAGCTTCCTGCAAATCTAGAAGCTATAATTTTGGGAAAAGAAGTTTAACTTCAACATATTGGATTTTTGCACTCATTTAAAAATTTGTCATGTAGCATAAGTGATAAAAAAATCAACTTGATGTTGTAATATGGTGGTTGGGTGACCCAAGATTGCGACATGTTGTCTGTCGTTGACCTTCCTCTCACAAGTGTTTTACAAATCACGTGAGCACTCTTGCTATGTTTAACTGTATTTGTTAAGTTAAATGCTAAACCTCTTAACCCACACTGGCCTGAAGGGCGCGTTTAGGCATGTCTGTACTTTTAATTACCATTGTTTTATAAAAAAAATATTCAATTAGCTATCATAAACTATGCATCATTTGAAAGCTAAAACGCTCAAGATTCATCTTCTGTACTTGTTTTTTAAATCAATACACCAGAGAGGAAAGAATGAAATGAAATGCTGAAGGACTGGCCATTTAATGTATTGATTGTATTCAAGCTGCTGTGCATGAACTGGACATACAGTCGTTGTTATTTGCAGGGTCAGCACCATGACAGCACATTTCATTCTTACATTGAAGCCATTTTTTTTTTCTGTTGTCTCAGATGTGGGGCAGAATTGATGGGACTGACTGTTTTTTGTTTTTTTGGCAAACTTATCTTTCCTTCCTTTGGATTCCTGCTCTGCCTAATACTATTTAAGCCTACTTGTTTTTGTATGTTATACAGATGTCGTCCAGTATCAGTTAGGTCCCAGTATTCTTGCCATATTTTGTTTGTATGTCCCTTAAAAGTTTCATGCTTTATTGCTCCTCTTGCCAGAATATCTACAATCTCATTTCCTTCCACCCCTACATGAGCAGGAACCCAAAGGAAGGAAACATTCAGCCCTTTATCATACAGTATTAAAAGCAGAGGTGGACAAAGTACTCAACTCCATTACTTGAGTGAAAGTACAGATACTGCTGGTCAAACATTACTCCATTACAAGTAAAAGTTGTAAAAACAGAGTTTTACTTTAGTAAAAGTACAGAAGTACTTGCTTTTAAAAGTACTTAAGTACCAAAAGTAAATTTCCTTTTTTATAATGCACTGTTTTATTGTTGTACGTAGTAGTACTTGCGATACTTCTGAAGCAACTTAGAATACATTACTCCTGCTGAATACACTGACTAGCTTGTAGTATATTTGGAATAAAGAGCTTTTAGAATGTTAAAAACCTATGGGGAAAAAAAACAAAACAAA